TATATATATATGAGGAGGGGTCTACTTACTCTAACTGTTGAATTAAAAGTTCTTAATGCATAACTTAGGTTTGGAAATGTTTAAAAAATTTTAAAACTATTTGATATTTTGTTTTATTAATTCAAATCAACGTGTAAATATTTTTATGATTATCCGTTAATTTGAATTAATGAAACGAAATATCAAATAATTTTCAAATTTTTTAAGAATTTATTGACTTGATTTATGTATTAAAAATTCTTAATTTAATAGTTTGATTGTTAAAAATTGATATATATATATATATATATATATATATAACATGAGTTATTGAGTGAAATATATCTAGGAATGTCAAAAAAAATTGTACCCACGAATATTTATGGATAAAATTTGCTATGAGTAGAAAATAGATATTGAAAATGGGTACTCACAAATAAAGGGAACGTGTTCTATCCCACATGTTAATAGGGTGGGTACTGGGTATGGGTATCATAGTATCCGTATCGGTAGGTACCCACTAATATCTAATTACATATTAAATTTGTTTAAACTTATGGGATTAAAGTACTTTAACAGTTAAATTTAATTTTAAAATTAAATAATTTTAATTAATAAAATTATATATAATATTTGAATAATTTAAGTTTTGACTTTAACCTATTATTTTTAAAGAAATTATTAGAATAAATAAAAAATTTTATTAAAATTTTTTAAAAAAATTATTTACTTTTCTTAAAATAAATATTCACACATACTCGTAGATATTATAAAAATATATAAATATCCATTTTTACGAATACTCGCACGAATATAAAAACAAGGATGCATGAGATGAATATTTATCCGGAGTGAATAACGGAAGGCTATTATCTATACTCACTCTTTCTCGTTAACATTCCTAAGTAATTTTAAGGAAATTTTTTCTATATATATAGAAAAGTGGTTTCAGTATTTTTATGAAAACAAATTACGATATTATGGTATAAATTAGGAGTAAAGATATCTATAAAAATAGGAACTAAATGGAATTTTTCAACGAGGCGTCCATTTATATATAATATATAAAATATAGAATATGGATAATAGGTATAGATTAACTCAGTGTCGTTAAAAAAAATAAAATTAACTCAATGGTTATGTACTTATGTTATATGCCTCCTTCTTTCTTTTCCTTTCTTTTTTGGTTTTTTTATTGCTTAATTAATTTATGGTTTTGTTATTTTGATAATGTGTTTAAATGGACGTGCTTAAATAAACTTACAATTGCCTTTGGTTGATGCAGGTTTTATGAAAAACAGTTTAAGAGGTGAGGAAACTTCCCATCGTTAATTTGCATGTCTCTGTATGGATAACGATCAAATGATGGCACATATTGTAGAAATTCTCTCTCCCACACTCTTTTAAGATCTAGTCCATTCTAGTTCATCCATATATATATCCGGTTGAATTTTCATCGACTTATAAAAGAATTAGAATAAAATTTCAATTATTGGTTCCTCAAAAATTTAGAAATGGATATATCAATATCTTCACAAATAGAAAGATGAAATAATGTGAAAAAATCTTATTTTTAGTTCTTAAAACCTATGGATGCAGATCATCATGTTAATTAGCCCTTCTTAAGAATTAGTTTCCTTCTAAGGAATTGGAGTAAAACAACTTTTACCTGTGATTTTTAAGATTAATGTGTGTTTTTTTTTATATTGTTAAGAACTATAATGTGTTCTACATTAAGTTTATCAGGGATGAATATATATTCATTAAAAAATAGAGGTTAAAAAGAAAGCATGAATTGCGCATGTACATATTATTTATATTACGCATGGACGCATTTCATAATGATTCTTTAACGCAAATATTTTCTTGCAGATTATTTCCGTGGACTTGTGGAAGGTTAGACCCCGTATCTTTTTAAGCTAGTATATCTTTTTAAATAATTTTTTCTATAAATATTTTAGAAAAAAAAACTAAAAATAATGAAATAAGAATATGTTTGACAAGAAATTTGAGAAACTTGTAATTATAAGTTATTATGACTAATTTATAAATTCATTTGACTAAAATAAGTTTACATGCGAGTTTATTTTAAAAGTTATATCTTATCAAGAACGGTTTAATATACTATTAGGTCTAAAGCAAATTTCGATGTAGGTTTTTTATAAAATTAGTCAAAGTAATATAAAAAAAAATTAGATTCTTATAAAAAATAAAATAGTTTTTTTTAGGAATGTTCAAACTCTATTGATAAAAAAAATACACCCTAATTATTATTATACTAATAGTATAAATATTACTAATATTAATATTATAAATACCTCTAATGTGCAAACTAATAATTATATAAATTGTATAAATATTAATCTATACCTATTATAAAGAGGATATTAAGGGTATGTAACTGTTTTTTGTATTTACTTTTTAGTGAACCATTATATCCTTTAAATATAAAAAAAATTATTATATCATTTCTGAATAACTACACATAATCTTCTAATATTCTATGTATATATAACTATTAGAGGCATGAAGTACTTCAATCCATTTAGTATTATATAAGTTTTTTGGGAGGCCTAAAGTAAGGGCTTGCTTAGCTTTAGGATTGGGACAGTAAGTTCTATAACTTATTTTCATAAGTTAATTGATATAGTTTATAGCATGCATGCAAACTTTTTGTTTTCTTTTTCCTTTTTTTTATCAACATTAATTTACTTCAAATCCTTTTTGTTATCCTTTTTTAATTTATAAATCATTTTGCTTGTATCTTATTCCCTCACTCTCCTTATTATTCCCTCACTCTCCTTATTAAATAAATAAATATGTCATTTTATATTAACTATCTAAACTTATTAACTAACCTTGCCAATTATTTTTAATTCAATTAGTTAGCTTGTAAGTTTTTGAATTTCAACTCCTAATTTATAGCTTAGCTTAGCTAGCCAATGGTGGCCCTAAGCACAGTCAAGGTGAGCGACCGTCCAAGGTTTCATTACCTAATTGAATTATATAAGAAAAATATTATTATAAAAAAAATAAATTGATCAACAGTAATTAATCAATTGATATGTGGTATTTTTATTTCTCAATAAAAATCTACTTGTAATTTTAGGAAAATAAATCAGTGATATTAAATATAAAGAAAAAATGTGATATATAGTATAATGTATAATTGACTTATTGTCTTTAATTTCTCTTATCCTATATTCTCTTATTGTTAATAGATAAGGATTATCTTGAAATTTATCTCTTTTCCTTTATATATAATCTCTTGATTTTTTTTTATATTCTCTTAATTATGATCTTTTATGCTCTACTAAAATCTTAAAATCAAATTAAAAATATTCTTTTGTTAGCCACACTAAATTTCTTGGTGAAGTGTCACCATTGTTATTTTTTTTCTTATTCCATCACAAATTGAGAGTTCAATGTGAATGTTTAAAAATAAATAATCAAATACTATTGTTTAATCTTATTGTCATTTACTCACTAAAGATCCATAATTTGAATATAGCTTATAAATAACCTAGTTTTTTGTTTATACTTATCTAATTGTTTGAGTTTGAACATGTTGCACATAAAATAACCTTATGGTCATCTAAAATGAAAAAGAAATAAACGAATTGAAATTGATATTGATTCTCATAATAATTTTTTTTGTTTAATATCCTAAATTTTTTCTTTGAAATGATGCAAATCTAGACAATCTAGACTCCAAAACTAAAAATTTTGAAAGTGAAAAACTATATAAAAATAATGAAGAGCATGATATTTTTGTTGAAAATAGTAAAAATAAAGATGATTATCATGAAAAAATTAAACATATCAATGATAAAAACATATCCACACTAGACAATTTAGTCGATATAATTCATTAGACATTTACGATCTAATAACATGAAATAATATTAGAAGTGATTTACAAAATGAATTACTAAAAATGGTACTAAATAAGATATTTATATTGTGAATGATCCTAAGAATACTTTTGATATCCTAATAATTTTGCAATAAAAAATACAAAGACAATACTTAAATAATTGAGAGTATCATGTTTTAGTTCGTCTAGGGCCTTAAAAAACTCCAAATCAACCCTCCAGCCAATTTATAAGTTAATTTTATCCAATCCATTCTCTCCATATATAAAAATTATAAATTGACTTTTAAAAAAATTAATATGAGAGAATTTTTACAAATTAGATTAAATATAATTTTAACCGAAAACATATTTTACTTTGCTTCTTATTTTCTTGTGTTAGAAATGCATGCAGAGTCCAAATAAGCCCTATGTTGGGGTTTGCTTGCAAATACTCGACCGCACAGGTTTATAGCCATCAGAAAAATATTGACATGGATGCTTTAACTTCAAATAAAATAGTGAATAATAATTATATTTTTTTAACTATGCGGTTAAATATTCAATCATAAGTGCATATGTATAGAAAAGAGGTTAGTTCTTTGAATAGATATACGTACATCAAGAAATTAGAATCTGGTTTTCTGCTAGAGGATAGCATTAAAATTAAAATTTGATATTGGAAATATGTTTTTATCTCACCTCGATGACACCTGCACAGGACTATATGAGTTGCGTTATGGCCATGAGTTACTGACATCATCTATTGGTGGCTTTACTGCAACAACACAATATTACCTTGGACTACTCACTGCACGACATTTTCTCCCATCATACCTAATCTTCAGAACCGTGTTTGGAATATCATTTGTGATTGGTATTTTACTCACCATATTTGGTAGAACCGTAGAAGACATTTATCAACATACGAAAACATTGAAGCTTTTTTGCAAGATGGTAGCCTTATGCCTATAAGGTACTCTTATTCAGATATTGTGAAAATGACCAGAGGTTTTAAGGATAAGTTGGGTCAAGGGGGGTTCGGATGTGTGTACAAAGGGAAGCTACGCAGCGGGGTCTATGCTGCTATAAAGATGTTGGAAAAATCTAATACAAATGGACAAGATTTTATCAGTGAAGTCGCAACTATTGGAAGGATACACCATGTGAATGTGGTTAAGCTTATTGGATACTGTGTTGAGGGTTCGAAGCATGCACTTGTTTATGAATTCATGCCCTCTAGCTCTCTTGATAAGTATATATTTTCAAATGAAGTAAGTATCCCCTTAAGTTATGATCAAATATATCAAATATCCCTTGGAGTGGCCCGTGGGATTGCTTATTTGCATGAGGGCTGTGACATGCAAATTCTACACTTTGATATCAAGCCCTACAACATTCTTCTTGATGAAAACTTTATCCCAAAGATTTCAGATTTTGGACTTGCAAAGTTGTATCCGGTAGATGATAGTGTCATTACTTTGACTGCTGCAAGAGGCACAATTGGCTACATGGCTCCAGAATTATTCTATAAGAATATTGGAGCAGTCTCCTTCAAGGCTGATGTTTACAGCTTTGGAATGCTGTTGATGGAAATGGCACATAGACAGAAGAATGTGAATCCACATGCAGAAAACTCAAGCCAAGTTTTCTTTCCCACTTGGATTTATGATCAGTTTAATAAAGGAGAAGACATAGAATTTGATGATAGCTCAGAGGAGGAAAAGAACATAGTCAAGAAGATGATCACAGTTGCACTGTGGTGCATTCAGTTAAAACCCTGTGACCGTCCTTCGATGAAAAAAGTAGTAGAGATGCTAGAAGGGGCACTTGAAATCCTAGAAATGCCCCCAAAGCCTTTATTGTATCCACATAAAGAACCTGTTGAGGTTCCAAGAGTCTACTCGGGCCAAACCTCATCAGATGACTTCACAAATTCTGAAAGTTATCCTGATGAGAACAGTGGGGATATTATACCTGAGACTGAGAGTTGTTCATGAATCATGATCCAATGAGAGGTGTTAATTTCACAAATCACAATCCAATCAAAAGATACAATTGTTTCTGAAGAATTCTAGATGTAATAAATAAGGTTGCATGGCTTATAGAATACTACTACATATCTGACATTTAACGACGTTTGTTTACCGGCTGGTAGTAAAATGTTTCTAATACTTGCAAGGTTATATCTATTACTATACAGCCCTTCTTTATCCATTAACTTGTGCTATACGAGCATGAAATTTTGATGTGTTTGATAAATTGAAAGTTTCTCTGCTACGTTTATCTATTCTAGCAACATGAGGGTCGAATGATTTCTTAATTTTGTGTAGTTAATGAGAACATGGCAATTCCAAGTTTTCCCTTTAGTAAAAGGTCCTAGGACTCTTGTTCTTTTTACTCTCCCTCTTTTCGTCGCAGAGCTCTGCATGTTCTACGTTGTGCTGCAGCTATAATATTTTTACCTCGGTTACATTACATCTCTGTTTCCATATGCAATATTGGCCTCGATCTGCATTTCCGTCACAGGAATATATTCAGCTGAAAGTTTAAGTTCTCTTCTTTATGCTTATTATTAAACAAAATCAATCACAATGACACAATTTACATTTGAGACATGTATCTAGTAATAAGTCCACATGATATAATAACAGAAATCTCAAAATAAAAATAACAATATAAAATTAACTTAAACCATATCATTTCATCCTTAATTAATGGCACTCATGCATCAAATTTTTAATTTTGTCAATCTACATGTATCAGGTTAATTAGAAAATATGTCAATTTTCTGCATCTTGACACATTAAGAATTGTTTGAAGCAAAACTCTATATTGTGAAGTCAGAAAATGCAAGAATACAAGCATATTTTGAGAATAATAGAGCAAAACTATTATGACATTATTTTGAGAAGAATGCAAGGGCTCTTCTATTCTTACTAGATAGATGGACATAAAATTCATAGAAAAGAAATGTGACTGGTCATCCTAATAGCTTATGCATCCTTACCAAATATACAGAAAAATGCCTTCTTATCTTAAAATGACTGGATTTCAATGAAATTCTACATAACAATTAAGATCTAAAGGGAAAAAATCTACTGCTAGTTAAGGCAAACAGCATGTGATACCCTTTTGCTGACAAGCTATCACGCCTGTAGCTTAGAAAACTATACGATGAATGAGAACAATAATCTTAACAGATTGACTCTTGTGAGTCAACTATATCAACGCAGAGATCGATAGCTTGTGAGGCAACTATATACAACCGTTGTAACCATTTCAAGATCAACAGTTCAAGACTACAGTACATTGATGCAAATTTCTATACTTTCTCTCCATGAACGATTAGAACTAAAAATTGACGTGGATACTTGTGGCAGCATATATGCAAAACCTAGAGGTGTTAAAGCTTCATTAACAATTTTGGAATCAAGTGCTGAAAATTGTCAACCGTTGCATTGTTACTAGTTCAAACGTAAATATGTTACTCTTTGTAAATTGCTAGGCCTGTTTTTTAGGCTAATGGCCCTTCAATTGATCGGAAATGATCACGAATGAAAATTACCATACGTGTTGCACAAGGTCTTATTTTCTCGTATGAAGAACTACCTTGCCAAGTAATAAACTTGCTAATCTTAGCTTAACTCGGCGTAAAATGCATGTTAAATATTCGAAACTGAAGCAGCCTTGTGCATTATCAGCACTCTTTTACCCTTCTCTACATCTGTGATCAATTTAGACATCAGAGTGAGTACCATTGTCCACTCCGAGTTGTTGTGTTTTTCTCTATGGTTATGCAAGTATCATAATATTACTTAACATACCCATATTTCTCACTCTTTTGTCTCATTCTCTCTCTAGGTGTATACTAATATGAGTGTTCATGAATCATTTTCCTTTTTATGTGGGCTCAACAAGTATACAATTGTTAAATATGTTTTAGAACGTTCGAAGAAATGTTATTCGATATATTATATGGAAGAGTGAAATGATTTTAAAAGTTAATGAACTTATTGGATGCAAGGGTTACAGTGAAAATAGTTATATTATTTGACATAATGGGTATAGAAAGATTATTCCGAAATTATATATAACATGTTTTGGTGTATATTTCCTTGATATGTTATTTAATACATTACTTTTCTTTTATGAATTTAATACATCATTTAATATCATTTATTTGTTAATATTACAAACAATACGTTACAAGTTATTAATAATTCTTAATTTTTATCTTAATTGTATAATTTTCTTTTATTCAAATGTTGTTTTTCTTCTTTTCTTAGTACATTATCAAATAGTTCTTCTCTATCAAACACAAGTAATTCCCCTCGAAAGTTTGATAGACATTAAGTAAGTAGATATTTCTTCGGGCTTTAACTTTATGCATTCATAAGAGGTAAAACTTGATATCTGACCACTTAGTTAACTAATGTGAATCTTTTGTCACTTGTATTAATGGTTGTTTTTCTCCTTTTAAATTCATACAAAAATTAAATAATTTTTTTTCGCAACTGAATTTGTTTAAATAACTATTTCTTTTTAATTTTAAAATATTAATCAAAATATTATTCCAATTTCTTATATTTTAATTAAAACAACATAAAATAAATATATGAGTTGGTATAACATTTAAATAAATAAAAAAGTATCTATGCTACTATTTGTTAAAGTTAGTCTTAGAAGTCAATCCTTTATTTTTATCATGACTTTGATAAAGACATTTCAATTGTCATCTTAATTGTTAAAAATAGTATTTTAATAAAGTAAAACAAGGTCATTATAATAATTGTTTCATTCAAAGATATATCAAGTGTGTCCAATTATGAAATTATTCTTAAAAAAAGTTATTCTTAAGTGAGGGTGTTACAAAACCACGTGAGGTGCTAATGCAGATTGGTTGTCAGTGTAAAAAAAATTTACACTGCCAGTATATAGATGATTAACTATATATATATAGAGAGAGAGAAAGAAAGAGAGAGATAGAGAAAGAGAATGATTCAAACAACACTAGTATAATTTTTACTAAATATTACCTCGCTTAATAACTTTATATTAAATGTAACTTTTGTAAATCCAACCATTATAACTTCATATCACTTTATATGTTTATATTAAATTTTGTTAAAATTGAACTTGAAAAAAATCAAAATATTCATATTTTATTATGTTTTAAAATGTATATATTATATCAATTTTGTTATATAAGAATGAAGTATCAAATCATCTTAGATTATTATAAAATTTTGTATATATGATGTAAGAATAAAGAATTTTTAATCTAACGGTTGAATTTACAAAACTTACATTTAATATAAAGTTATTAAGTAGTGTAATAATTAGTAAAAGTTACACCGGTGTAATTATAAACCTCTATATATATATGAAAAGAGATCAAATTACACAACTTTTATAACTATTATACCATTTAGTAATTTAAATAAAGAGTTAAGTCTGTCTATAAAAAGTTTTAAAATGGAAAAAATAAATAAATAAACACTCAATTGATAAGCCATTTTCATATAAACCAACTTTTCACCATAACAAAATAAAGGATCATGTGTTGAGAAGTTGGTTTGGAGTTTGCCAACCTCAACGCAATTCACACAAAAGATCTCAAGGGAAAGTCGACCCGGGAGAATTTGATTTCCTGGTGCCTAAAAAAATATAACACTTGGAAATAATCATTCAAGTATGGAATTTGGAGAATTAAAGTAAAAATAAAACGCTGCTGTAGAAAAACCTAGGCAAACCATATTTATAATTTAACCTTGATATGTTGGGCCATGTTTCCACATGTCAAACCCCTCTTTGAGTATGTGTTCCATGTTACTTTTTTGTTTTTTATCCTTTTTCTTTTCAATCAAAACAGAAGGGAGGGATGAAACTATCGTCTTTTGCTTTTGGTCTTGGAGATCCTTGATTTACTTGCTTCATGAGGCGGTTTCCAGATTATATCCTCCAGATTGCTACAAAAGTTCTTGTAAAACTGCAACATTATGGAATGCATCTTTCGTCATAAATTAAATGTAAGCAATCGACAGGGCAAAACAGATGTTTCAAAAGCTTACCTTGAGGTATTCGCCAGTATCTCCAGCTGCTTTTTGAATGTCCACCATATAAAATGTTATTGAACAAGGCTGGATTAGATAAAGCATCATAGTGACATGCTACGTAGGATTGGATTCTTTAACGTTAATACATTGGCTATTGCATCGCCAAATACTAAGATTGTAATACATTATTTAATGTTCTCGAATATTTTCTCATTTGTTTTTATTCTCTTTCTTAGTAGAATAAATAAACTTGAGCTTTTTTGGAATTAGTCACTTTTAAGGTAGCATGATATTTTTCTAATTAAAATAAATAAATAAAACATGCTCTTTGAAAAAGGTGTAGTTCGTACAAAAGTTGTTTACAACTAAAATGTGAAAAATGTTTCATTCCTTTTTGTAAAAAAAAATGGATAAAGTAGTTTCTTAGATATAATAAAAAAAATGGTAATTTGGTGAAATATTTAATATTAACATTTATGGTACCAACAAATATTTCTCGTGTGAAGAAGGAAGATGAAACAAGTTTATAAGTACACTTTGAAATATTTGTAATGGTTATCTTCAAACATTGTTATTTGCAAGCAAATAATTCTGCTACAAAAAAAAATTCTAAGTAATTAATATAACGACCTGTTATGATCTCTACACTTTGTGGAATTGTACTAATCAAAAAGTTTAATTGAGAGAGAGACTATTAATTGGATAGCAATATAAACATGCATCTGAATAATAAAATAAAAACCATGTTTATATGAAAAAATATAAATATGATGTATATACAGTCATCCAAAAAGAATATATCCACTCTCTTAGTATCGATCAAGCACAACAACAGCCACCCAAGGTGGTGACTCAAACACTAGAGTAAGACTCTCCAGCCAATAACGATCACATCTTGTCTGTCTCCAGCCTAACCTTGACTTGCTTCCATACATAGTATAATCATCGCAATCCATCTACATGAAAATAGAAGGGTAAGTTAGAGTTCAATAAATAATCATACAAGTAAGAGTCTACATCTATACAATGCACTCATCGATATCACCCAACATATTCATAGAGCCAAACAATTCACTCTATCACAAAACAATTATGCAATAAATGCAACTCATGATAGATATCAATACATATCAATCATCTAATGCATCGTCACGCATTCACCTAGGAGATCTCCTTAACAAACAGAGCAATATAAGCGACATCTCATCCTACCAAAACACTCCGACCACTTTTATATGCTTGAAGCACCCTGTTGGGTCAGTAGCAAATCGGGATATTAAATCCCTCCAGGTGTTTACTCAGATAGTGTCACTTACATAATTAGAAGTCCGTTTCCACCGTCAGGTATAACACAACTAGGTATAGGCTTACCACAACTTTGACATGCATTACCAAGTCACTTGTAGAGTTCGCCCACCGACTATCCACAAGGAACCATGCGCCTTCCTCAGTACTTGATTAAGGGAATAACCTTTGACCCCATACCTTACTCCAACACTAGCTAAGGACTTAGAGGTAACTCACCCAAACTAATGTTTTATCTAAGCACCACTCTCACCCAAAATCAGTGGCCTATCCAAGCACCACTCTTATACATACTAGTGACATATCCAAGCGCCACTCTCTAGTGACTCTATGTGAGCTCTTCTAGTTCAAAAACATTTTTTCCATCTCCTCAAAATCCTAGGCTAGACACATGCCATAAGGCACCACATGCAAACAATGCATCATACATCATACATGGTCAATCCATCATCATGATCAAATTCATTCTCATATGAATATACATACATATTCAATCATGTTTAAAACATTCATACCTTTCTAAATACATATGAACCAATCCATTCACATCATATACCCTACATATATGATCCAACATTAAACATTAAATCATGCAAAAGCATCCCAACACAACCACATCAACATGGTATGATTCACACTCGGCACAGCCCTGCTTGTGCCCGACCCAACAGAAAATAGAGACTCATAGAGACTCTCTTACCTGGCGCGCTCACCTTTGTTCTTGGTGGCCACGAAGTCGAAGACTTCCACGGGTCTCCACGCCCAACATAACCCAATTTTACGCTCAATGTCAGCCTAGCAGAGGCTAATCCTTTGGAAATCTGCTCGGCGTGACCTACATCATGCCCGATGCCCCAAGGTTAGAGACCTATAGGGGTAACCATGCTGGCGCACCCAACTTGCACCCAACGCCATATCAACAAAACACCACACACAGCCACTGTTTGGTATCGTGCTTGGCATGGCCCTCCTCACGCCCGACGTGACTCATCTAGAGGCTCCCATCTCAAATCACGCCCATTTTAATAAAATTCCTTTTAGTTTATTGAACAAGGCTGGATTAGATAAAGCATCATAGTGACATGCTACGTAGGATTGGATTCTTTAACGTTAATACATTGGCTATTGCATCGCCAAATACTAAGATTGTAATACATTATTTAATGTTCTCGAATATTTTCTCATTTGTTTTTATTCTCTTTCTTAGTAGAATAAATAAACTTGAGCTTTTTTGGAATTAGTCACTTTTAAGGTAGCATGATATTTTTCTAATTAAAATAAATAAATAAAACATGCTCTTTGAAAAAGGTGTAGTTCGTACAAAAGTTGTTTACAACTAAAATGTGAAAAATGTTTCATTCCTTTTTGTAAAAAAAAATGGATAAAGTAGTTTCTTAGATATAATAAAAAAAATGGTAATTTGGTGAAATATTTAATATTAACATTTATGGTACCAACAAATATTTCTCGTGTGAAGAAGGAAGATGAAACAAGTTTATAAGTACACTTTGAAATATTTGTAATGGTTATCTTCAAACATTGTTATTTGCAAGCAAATAATTCTGCTACAAAAAAAAATTCTAAGTAATTAATATAACGACCTGTTATGATCTCTACACTTTGTGGAATTGTACTAATCAAAAAGTTTAATTGAGAGAGAGACTATTAATTGGATAGCAATATAAACATGCATCTGAATAATAAAATAAAAACCATGTTTATATGAAAAAATATAAATATGATGTATATACAGTCATCCAAAAAGAATATATCCACTCTCTTAGTATCGATCAAGCACAACAACAGCCACCCAAGGTGGTGACTCAAACACTAGAGTAAGACTCTCCAGCCAATAACGATCACATCTTGTCTGTCTCCAGCCTAACCTTGACTTGCTTCCATACATAGTATAATCATCGCAATCCATCTACATGAAAATAGAAGGGTAAGTTAGAGTTCAATAAATAATCATACAAGTAAGAGTCTACATCTATACAATGCACTCATCGATATCACCCAACATATTCATAGAGCCAAACAATTCACTCTATCACAAAACAATTATGCAATAAATGCAACTCATGATAGATATCAATACATATCAATCATCTAATGCATCGTCACGCATTCACCTAGGAGATCTCCTTAACAAACAGAGCAATATAAGCGACATCTCATCCTACCAAAACACTCCGACCACTTTTATATGCTTGAAGCACCCTGTTGGGTCAGTAGCAAATCGGGATATTAAATCCCTCCAGGTGTTTACTCAGATAGTGTCACTTACATAATTAGAAGTCCGTTTCCACCGTCAGGTATAACACAACTAGGTATAGGCTTACCACAACTTTGACATGCATTACCAAGTCACTTGTAGAGTTCGCCCACCGACTATCCACAAGGAACCATGCGCCTTCCTCAGTACTTGATTAAGGGAATAACCTTTGACCCCATACCTTACTCCAACACTAGCTAAGGACTTAGAGGTAACTCACCCAAACTAATGTTTTATCTAAGCACCACTCTCACCCAAAATCAGTGGCCTATCCAAGCACCACTCTTATACATACTAGTGACATATCCAAGCGCCACTCTCTAGTGACTCTATGTGAGCTCTTCTAGTTCAAAAACATTTTTTCCATCTCCTCAAAATCCTAGGCTAGACACATGCCATAAGGCACCACATGCAAATAATGCATCATACATCATACATGGTCAATCCATCATCATGATCAAATTCATTCTCATATGAATATACATACATATTCAATCATGTTTAAAACATTCATACCTTTCTAAATACATATGAACCAATCCATTCACATCATATACCCTACATATATGATATGGCGGGTGCAGTGTGAGGTGGTCCTTTACTGTAATGGATTGTTTTCAGTGGCTGAAGGGGATTATCTTGCACAAGGATGCTATTACGCTATCCATCACCTTGTGGTGGGTCTAGCGTTTTAGTAATAACATGGTTTTTAACGACGAACTCTGGCAAATCTCGGTGGTCCGTCGGAAGGTGATACTATCTACGGTGGAAAACAGTGTGTATAACGCTAAGAGGCGCTTATGGGAGGAGCAAGCCCTTTGGAGGCCTCCGGAGCACCCGTGGATCAAGCTAAACACGGACGGAAGTTGGTTGAGGGAGACTTCGGCTATGGGGATGGGTGGAGTAATTCGTGATTGGGCAGGTATGTGGCGGGGGGGCTTTTCACGTGGAGCCTTACATGGTGATGCGTTACGTGCTGAGTTGTTGGCCTTGGAGGAGGGTCTATTGTTTTGTTGGGAGGGTGGGTTTAGGAAGGTGACTTGTGAATGTGATTGCCTGGGAGCTGTTACGGTGTTTCACGATCGGCCAACGGACAGAGATTACCTGCACAAGCACTATGATGTTATTCGTCGTGTTCAGCAAATGCTTGCTCGGGATTGGATAGTTTACGTAAGTCATATTCCTCGGGATATAAATTCAGTAGCTCATACGCTTGCTAATTGGGGTGTAAGGAACCTAGGTTACAATGTATTTTGGAGGAGTCCTCCAGATTTTATTTTGCTTCAGTTAGGGAAAGACTCTATTTCTTAGTTTGTCTACTTTGTTTTAGCTTTCATATTTTACAAAAAAAAAAAGTATCTACAATATTGTTGTTAACTAATTTAAAACGACAATAATACATTAAGATTATTGAATGAGTTAACTAATGATTGTATCACACAGATCATGAATATAGAGATATCAAGTGAGATATACAAGTTTAAATGTTGAT